AAACACACACACACACACACCTCACACACACATCTCATACACATACGCCTCACACACACACACACACACACACACACAGTGTGTGTTGTATGTGTCTCTCTCCCCGTGGCTTGTTTCTATCTCCTTCTTCAATTTTATCTTCCTCCTTTTCCCCATTTCTCGCTCCCTCCGTTTCCAACTTCCCAGAGAATCACAAAATCTTTGAATGCTAACTTATAGAGGATTTCAGACACCATACAGACCAACACCCCAAAGTTATGCATGAGAAAACAAGAGTCCAAAGAAGTGATTTGCCCAAGAATATGGTATTATTTTATGGAGAACACACGGCCTAAGGCCGGCATTCTCACCACAATGTCATACTTGAAGCTAAGTGATGGAATTTAAGAGTATTTAAAATCCTCTGTAGTTTCTATTATAATCTTTTCTAAGAAACTCAGAAAAAAATACATTTAAATTTAAGGAGCTTTTATTATTTTCATGTAGTACTTAACTTTTTAAAATTAATTATCTTCCTCGCTTGAAAAACAATTTTTCCAATTCACAGAACTAGGATTACTAGTATTAGACAATTTCAAGACAACCACTACAAACCATACATATTTACAAAATAGTTTGAACTGTTTGAAAGAGCAGTTCTTAAACTTATTTTTTCCAGTCATGGATTGCATGGAAAAGCTGATGAAAAGCTGTGTCCATTCTCCTCAGAAAAAAAATTAAAACACTGAACATCTTGCATAACATTTTAGGAGTTTATGAATACCCTAAAGCCCATTTGTGAGCCTGGCAAAAGCTAAGAACACCTGTCTTAAAGACAAAATGTGGTGTGTTTCTGGATTAGTGGTTTTCAAAGTATGCGGTGTGCATGCTGAGGGTGCACATGATGATCCATGAAACATCAGGGAAAAAAATTACAGAACTTCTATCTCTGTGTTGTTTTATTTTTAAATTTCATCCTTCTAAAGTCTTTATATTTGTTTACATTTTATAACATATGGGAGATATTCATATAGTAACCAATCAAAAATCAGTTGTATCAAGTTGATTCTGACTCATGATAACCCCATGTGTGTCAGAGAAGAATTGTGCTCCATTGGGTTTTCAGTGGCTGATTTTCCAGAAGTAAATCACCAGGCTTTTCTTCTGAGGCACCTATGGGTGGATTCAAGCCTCCAACCTTTCGTTTAGCGGCCGAGTGTGTTAACCATTTCCACCACCCGGGGACTCCAGTATGGTAACACATGTATATAATTAACAAATAAGTAAAATAAATATATTGTCCTGTGTACTCAGCTATTTCTTTTTTTTTTTTTTCCATTAAGGGCAATTAAGGGACAAGCCAACTGTTGGATACCACCAGATATCCTCAGAGAGACCCTCCTCTTCCCACAAGGACCACCTGTCCACCGGGCGGGGCCTCTCCTCACCTGGTCCTTTGTCTTCCCTTCTCGCTCACGAATGTGGTTAGCAACAATCCTTTCTGTTTCCTCGCAGAGTCTGGGGAAGTTAGCCAGCTGTCAGAGAAAAAAGATCTGAGTGTTAATATACAAAAAGCTATACCGTACAAAAGAATGAGTGATAAGTTATATTTTCTTATAGGAATCACTCACTAGAATTCTGGAAATAAAAGTGAAATATCACAAGCTCCTAAAGGATGACAGTGTGATGGAAGAGGGTTCTCAAACTATAATTAGAAGCAACTCATTACCTGAGAGGAAATACTTCAAAACCAGCAGAGCAATTCCCTAGAATGAAAACAGAGACCCAGATACCATCTAGCGCTGTGCTCTGTAGAGTGGGCACTTAATAAACATCAAAGATGAAGAAGATGGAGATGGGATAAAAAAGAGGATAATGACTAACATTTATAGAGCACTTACCGTGTGCCAGTCTGTGTGCTAGGCACCTCATGAATTACCTCATTCAGTATTCACACCAATCATAAAATACAGGTCTTATCAGTAATCTCATTTTATAGAAGAGGACAGTGAAGTACAGAGCGCTGAAGTAACTTTGTCCAAGACCAGACAGCTCGTAAAAGATATGACTAGGATTCGAAGCCAAGCCCTTGAACTCCAGACCCATGGTCTTAGCCATTACTCTTTTAGGATGATACATTTCAAGAACCATGAAGAAAAACCTTCATTTTCTTTTTTAATTCTCTCATAACAAATGTGTGTATGGGAAGGGGTCATGTTTTTTGGTACAACTTTAGAAATAATTTAGGTCACTTGCTTATGCCATCAAATTTTGGAGGTGACTGTCCAAAATGCAGTTTGCAAAAATGAACAAATTAATTAGAGTTTTTCTTGATATAAGGAAGAAAGAGAACAAGATGCTTTGAGAACGTGTTAGAAGCCCTTATCTAGGAGAACTCAATCAGGAAAAGGTGTGTGGGGGCGGTGAGGGAAGGTGGAGCTTGCCAGGCACAGGAGTATGTGTGAAGGCACTGGGGGAAGGGACAGTGAGTGGTAAAAGGAAAGGGAAGTCAATGCACAGAGTGAGGAGGATGGTCTTGCGGCAAAGATAGAAAGGTGGGCAGTGGCCAGACCAGGCAGATCCTTGCAGGCCTGGTTAAGAATTTTGGCTACTAAAGCAGTTCAGGCAGGAAATGATGGTGCTGTGGACTGGGATGGCAGCAGTGGAAACTGAGAAAAGTGGGCACATACATGGCTTATGATAGGCAAAAGGTTAATTGCAATGATAAAAAGCACTTATAAATTCATAAAAATAACACTATGCCCAATATAAAAGTAGACAAAGAACACAGTATTTAATTCATAAAAGAAATTTAATGGTCAATAAGCAAAAGAAAAATATTGAACTACAGAAGTAAAGTAATGCAAAGAAAGACAATAACTATCATGTTGGCAAACTGTTATAATCATTTTTATAAGACTTAATGCTGGTGAGGAGCCCTGGTGGCTCAATGGTTAATAGCTTGGCTGCTAAAACCAAAAGGTCGGCAGTTCGAATCCACCAGCCGCTTCTTGGAAATCCTATAGGGCAGTTATACTCTGTCCTATAAGGTCACTATGAGTCAGAATTGACTCGATGGCAATGGTTTTTTGGTTTTTTTTTTTTAAGTGGGTTTTTAAAATGCTGGTGAAGGTATAATGAGAGTAGCACAGTTGAAACGGTTTAAGAAATGTAAACGAGAACACATCTTTCTGGAAAGCAATTGGGCAATATGTACCAAGAATTTTAAAAACATATATATCCATCAATCTAATTACTTCACTTACAGGATTCTGAGCTAAAATGATAAGGACACGTATCACAGCATTACTTGGAATAGCAAACAAACAAAACTCTATAAACCACCTAAATATGCAATGATATTAAGTAGATCCATTTATGGGATTAATGCAGCCATTTCAAATCATATTTTTAAATAATATCTAATGATAAAGTGCTTATAACATGACACTAAGTGAAGAAAATCAGGTTAGTAAATATATAATGTGATTACACACAAACACATAGTGTACACACTACCATATCCCACCATACACCCTTGACATCCTTCAAGGCTACAGCCCAAGAACTTCACAAATCCCAAAATTCATGAATAATCTTGTAGCACGTAATATTTCCCTTAACTTTTAAGCAGTTAGAACTAGGCCTCCCTGAGACATGGCTGCTCCAGGATCACTGGGCACACCAACTTACAGCGTGTATGATGCACATTAGTGTCTCAGCAAGATAACAACCTCCAGTACTTCCTAGGACCATCATGATCACAAGATCACATCTAGATGTTAAATTCCCTAATGCCACAAATCTGCTGTCTGTGCATAGAAAAGGTCTGGAAACAAATGTTATAACATGTTAATAGTGATAAACTCTTTGCATTATGGGATTATGTACCATTTTCTTCTATATACTTCTCATTTTCCAAATTTTTCTATAGTGGACATAGTGTTTTATAACAACATCATAAAAGCATAGAAACTTGGCTGCCATGGTCACCACAAAAATCACAGCCCAGTGTCTCCTCACAAGGTCACCAACCCTTACCCCCTTACTGTTACTCCTGTCTGAATTCTAAGAGGTATGCTTGTTTGGGGAGCTTATTGCATGAACTACTACAGGATACCAATGGAGCTTCCATTTCCAATTTTGGAAACATTCTCCAGGGAAAGGTCTATCACCCTAGAAACGCTTTTTACACTCTGAGAACACTGCAAGTTATATTTTGTACAGGTTATAAAAGGCTTCAAAATGTGGAAGGGATAGTTGATCAATACAGGTCCTTCTTGAGTGCAAACCTAGATGGTATATCTCGCTCTAAACCACTAACCTGTTGCAGGCCACCAGAGCAGGTGTTTCTCACCTGCACTAAGACAGCATGCTAAGCTAGCTATCAGGGAATGCTTTGTTTTTGATGACAGCCTCACAAATACAGAATCGCTGCTGCAGAGAAATAACCGCACAAGCAGTAGTGGTCTACAGAGAAGGAGTGTGATACCTTTAACAACATTTAGAAAATGGATTACAGTAGAAGGTTATTTTTAAAACTTCAAATAGTGGCAATATAAGTACTTATTCAGAAATTAAATACTTGATAGACGAAGGGCCCCAGGCCAACACTTGAACATCATTAAGCCAGGGAAAGGCCAAAATGACAAGAGTGTACCATTAAGTAGATTCATCTAAGACAGTCTCCAATCTACCGACTTTGATAGGATTTTTTTAAAATTATTTATTTATTTAATAACAACAAAACACAGCAAAACAAACAGCAATTCAACAGTTTCTACATTTACCATTTAGTGACACTGATTACATTCATCAAGTAATTCTCACCCTCTTTTTCTGAGTTGTTCCTCTCTGATTAATATAAACTCACTTCCCCCTAAGGTTCCTATCAAATCTTTTGAGTTTCTGTTATCAATTTGATTCCATATAGATAATTCTTAAAAGAGCATAATGCTCAAGGCAGACATTTTTTACTAGGTAAGCTAAAATATTGTTTGATTTTAAGAAGACTTTAGGGAACATTTTTGATTTAAGGTTTAAAGATTACCTCAGGGCAACAGTTTCAGGGTTTCATCTAAACTTCATGGTTCCAAGAAGTCTGGAATCCATGAATATTTGAAATTCTGTTCTACGTTTTCCCCTCTTTTGATCAGGATTCTTCTACAGAATCTTTGATCAAAATATTCAATAATGGTAGCTGGGCACCATCTAGTACTTTTGGTCTCATGGCAAAGAAGGCAGTTGTTCATGGAGGCAATTAGCCACACGTTCCATATCCTCGTCCTATTCCTGACTCTTCTTCTTCCTCTGTTGCTCCAGGCAAATAGAGAATAGTTATTGTGCTTTGGATGGCCACTTGCAGCTTTTAAAACCCCAGGCACTACCCAGCGAACTAGGAGGTAGAACTGAAGCACTAAACATGTTATTAGGCCAAGTAATTGGGATATCCCATGAAACCATGACCTTAAACCTCCAAACCAAGAAACCAAATCCCATGAGTTTTTTGGTTATACATAAATAGCTTCAACAGCTACTCTTTTTGTTGTTGTTATAAATATATCTATCATACAACTTTTGCAAATTCAACTTTTTACAGGTATACAACTTACTGACAGCAATTACAATGATCGGCTGTGCAACACTACCCTTATTCAATGTGATATTTCCATCAACATTAACCCTCCCTTTCCCCTTCCCTCTCACCCCGGTAATGATTAATAAACTTTGTTCTCTATACATTTGCCTTTTCTTGTCTTCTTATATAAGTGAGGTTATACAATATCTGTCCTTTTGTGATTGACTTATTTCACACAGCATAATGTCTTCCAGCTCCATCTATACTGTAACATGCATCAAGACTTCATTTCTCCTACTGGCTAATTAGTATTCCATTGACTTGGACAGACATTTCCCCAAAGAGGACATTCAAATGGCCACCAAACACATTAAAAGATGTTCAGCATCATTAGCTATCAGAGAGGAGCAAATCAAAACCACAATAAGATACCATTTCACTCCCACTAAGATGGTGAAGATTAAAAAAAAAGAAAATAATAAACATTGTTGAGGATGTAGAGAAACTGGAACCCTTATCCATTGCTGGTAGGAATGCAAAATGGTACAGCCATTGTGGACAACTATGTGGCAGTTCCTCAAAAAAACTAAAAAGAAAACTACCGTAGGACCCAACAATTCCACTCCTCGTTATATACCCAAAAGACTTGAAAGTAGAGACTCAAACAGAGACTTGTACACTAATGTTCATTGCAGCACTATTCGCAATAGCCAAAAGGTGGCAACAACCTAAATGCCCATCAACAGATGAACAGATAAACAAAATGTGGTACATACATACAATGAATTTTTTTTTTTTAAAGTCTCCTGACTTTTCCAAGTTTACTACTAATGGGCTCAATTTCACCAGGAAATAAAAAGTGTATTAGCCTAAATTCTAAGTGGAACAAAAGAGAAAGAGAACACACTATAAAAATTGCCCTTACGGAGGCAAAGCAGGAGAAATATTGAAGGAGAC